CTCAGAGGCAGGGCTGGGAGGGCTGGGCTAAACAGCGCCAGTCCCAGCATCAACTGGGCCCAGAGGAGCAGCGCCTCCGAAGCTCAGAGTTTGGGGCTGATGGTGGAGTGACCTCCCCCACACTCCTCTGGCTGTAGGAGGGCAAGGGCGTCAGGAGGGCTGGGCTGAGGCAGCTCTTGTTGCTGAGACCTAGAGGGGCTCCTTGGCTGTCCAGCAGCCTGATTCATAAGAAGATTCTGAGGGCTGGCCACCGGGGTCCCTGCCAGACTTTATGAGAAAGGGAGCTTAGCTCCAGTGATAAGAAGCCTTTCAACAGAGGAAAGGCACACAGCTGGCAGCCCTCTGCCCTCTGGTGGCCTCCAGTGCTCACTGCAGTCTCATTGCTTTGGTCTAAGGCAGAGATTTCCAGCCTTTTTCATCTCATGGCACATAAAGTAATTACTAGAACTCTGCAACACACCAAAAAATGTTTTGTTTTTTTTTGCCGATATTACAGAAATACAGGTATGAATGTTGATTCATTCACACTGGACTATTGTGTTGGCTGTTGTCATTTTTTTATTTGACAACCTAAGGAAAAGACTTTGGCCGGGTATTAGGTTTTAAAAATTCATGCAGCACACCAGTTGAAAAAACTCACTGGTCTAAGGCCTTCATTTGGCCCAGTCGCTCAGCACCAAGGAGCTAACAACATAGCGTGGCGAACAGGGTAGACTTTGGGACTGGAAGGCCAAGGTTTGAAATCCCAGCTCTATTGCTGCTGCTACGACTACTTCTACCACTTATGAGCAGGGTGGCCCGGCAAGTGACTTCATCTCTCTGTGGCTCAGACTCTTCATTTGCAAAACAAGGTTGATAAGAGTATCTACCACAAAGGTGGTTTGAAGAGTAAATAGGATTATCTACATCAAGTGCTTGGAATAAGTAAATTAAGTAACAATAAACGGTAGCTAGCTGCCCTATTCTGTATTTCTGGGGTCAGTGTGGCTTAGGGACATTGCTTGAGAGTTGGGAATCAGCGATACCTTGATCTGGGGTTGAACTGAATTCTGGCACTGCTGTGGCCACTCACCAAGCTCGTGCTTTGCATGTTGACTAGTTACATGACATATGGAGGGAGAGTCACCAGGAGGTAGTTCAAAATCACTCTTGAACATCCTTTAGGAAGGCACCACGTTGGGGATAAACATGCCATGTCTCAAAGCCCGATGTGGCCCGTTTTCCTAATTCTTAGTTATCGTCTTTCAAGTAGCTGACTTCATGCAAGGGCAGTGATGCACAGATCACGTGCACCTTCATCCTCTGCAATCACAGTCAGTGGTGAGATGCTCACACAGAGAGGTACATGGAAGCAGATACCTACTGGGGTCTCAGGTTCGAATCCTCCATCTCACAAACCCTGGAGGGACACGTGTTCATTACAGGCAGATAGATACTCACTGTATTACTTAAGATTTCTATCCTCTCTTTCTGGCCTAGTGTGTAGAACTGAATTTGTACGCCTTGAGTGGATGCATTCAGGACGCAAATGCATTGAGACCTCCCTGAAGTGCTTTTTTCTTCTGTACAATGGGGAATAACAGTATACAGCATCAGGTTCTTGTGTACAGCAAGTAAAACAAAGTGTGTAGGAATTTTAAGTGTTAGGTAAATGGCATTCTCCACTCCTCCCCACCCCATTACCCCCTAACTAGTTGTATGACTTTGAGCAAGTTATTTCCCTCTCTGGGTCTCAAGGGTCTCAACAGCAAAATGTGGGGGTTGTATTAGATAATTTCAAAAACCTCTTCTAGCTTGAAACTTCCAAGATAGTTCTGCAATTCTAAGACATGTAGATGGCAGTCAATTCTTCTGTGAATGCTGTCTTACATGGTTTTTCCAGCACTGCTTTATCCAACTGCTAAGGGTTCATCTATACAGCCCTTCACACAAAGTCTTGAGAACTAAACATGCACCTTAATGATCTTAATTTTCATTTGATCAGCACAAAGGTGTACTTCACCTGTGCCTGAATCAGCACATAGCGACCACATTTTAGGTGCCCCTGCTACAGTCCTTCAGAGGCACTGCCGATGACCAAGATTTACCTTCCATGGGAGAAGCCCCCTGCAAGCAACACACATTCTGGGCAGGTAGGCACTCTCCCTGGCTTTGGGAAAATTCCTTTCTGGAGGGCAGTAGGGTAAATCGAAATGAACTTTGGAATCAGGCCCCAACTGAGCCCATTTCCCCATCTGTAAAATTGCAGTAGATCATTTTCCTGGCAGCACCGTATGGGTTAAGTTAGAAGTAACATGAGGCCAGGGGCAGGGTTATGGATTGGTGGGAAGCATTCTCCATGAGTGAGACAGACTGCTGCTCCAAGTCCACTTCCACAGGGCTGTTGGTCTCCCCAAGCGTAGCGTACTCCACATCAGTCAAGTCGGAAGACCGCCACTTACAGGATTTCTGTCCTTGGTGTTTACCAGCAACCCATCACTTCTCATGCTTCAGTCCCCACCCCCATGCCCATCTAGCTTCCATGCCTGGCTCAGAGCAGTGGTATTAATGGAAACACCTTCTCCCTTCTGTCTGGGACCCTTTGAAGACTCCATTTAAATTGCCCATGCCCACCCAGAGGCTTTCCAAACCCCTGCCCCAGCCCCCACATGGCCTAGGTCCTCACCACCAAACCCTTGCCTCGCCAGGGCATACCGTCAGAGCAGGCTCCCTGGGGAGTTTCCCTGGGTTGGCATTTGCTACCTGTACTGGGGAAGTCTATCTCCGAAAGACAGGAACTGTTTTTCTCATCTGGGGATTTCTCATGGGAAGGTCTGGTATAGTGTGCTCCACCTTCACCCTTTGGAAGTAGCTCTCCAGAAAGGCAGTGCTGTGGGCAAGACTGAGGACAAGGGTAGGCTGGGGTGGGAGTTCCCTTGGCAGTAACAGAGGGTGGGACAAAAGAAAACGACAAGGGAGTCAAATGACCTGGATTAAAACCTCAGCTCAGCCACTTTCCAAAAAAGAATCTGGGTAAGCCACTAGACCAGAGTTCTCCCCACACTGTGGGATGAAGATAACAATGTCTGCTCAGCGCCACACCTGGCATACCCTAGTATTTGTATGTCCCAGGTGCTGTTCTAAATGTTTCAATGCACTAAATTAATTTAATCTCACTACAACTGCAGGAGGTATTATTATCCTCATGTACTTATTTTTAATTTAAAATTATATTTTGTTACAGATGTTTCTCCTTTTCCCCCATTTCCCCCTCCTCCCAGCTCCCCCGCCCCATCCCCTCATTTATAGGCACTGTAAATGAGGAAAATGAAGCATGTGAGGCTCAGAGAAATTAAATAACTTCCTCAAGTTCACAGAACTGGTGAGCTGTTCGGTAAATGGCAGCAGTAACTGTTCTGAGGCAGCAATACATGGGGCAGTCTCCAAGACCCCAAGGACTGACGGGGGGTTTCTGCATCTGGACTAGCTCCAATCTTATTCCCTTAATTGTAGCAAATGACAGACGAATCAGTGTTATAAATACAGTTAACATAATATATTTATTTTAAGTGCCATTCATGCATATCAATTCTGGCAGCAACAATCCTAATGACACTTGGAATATTTCTTTACAGCACTAAACAGTTACAAAGAATGGGTGCCGTTCATCATAGGGGCGAAATATGAAATCGTGCAATAGCAAAACTGTAGAAACATTAAAACACTGACTGTCCAACAGCAGTACAGAGAGCAGATTGTGTTTGCACAGAAAGCCAATGCATTTTCATCACATATATACAATATAGATATGTACACATCACCCTCTGAATGAACAATATCAAAATACTCTATTCGATTTGAAATAATCCCCAGATTGATTCCCTCCCACTTCAAAGGACATCTGAGAGACACGTATTTACAAGTACACACATGAATACATTTACATTTCAAAAACTGCCACAAATGCCAGTCGGATTATTCTCCTGGACAGAGTACCCCCATTTGATTATATGCATTTATTATTATTTTCCCCAAAAGTCTTCAGTCAATTTAAGCCCAAGACAGAACTTACTCTGAATTAACAACTACCAACTGACATGGCCACTAGAGGGATGCTCTGCACCTCACCAGGCAGCCCTGTCTGGCTGGAGCCCACTGAGAAGGCCTGTCCTGGGCTCCCAGGTCACTGAATCACAAGAGTGGGATGGGTCTGGATGGAGGCTCTGCCTCCAGGGCCATTCTTGGTAAGTTTAAATTCTTATAAAAATATTGATCACTGCAAATCAGCAAATGATTGCCAAATAGGACATTAGCTTCACACAATTTGAAGAATCTTCATCAGCGATTTCTACTCAAGTCATTCAATATAAGAGACACATTCCAATACCCAAAATGTTTAAAGTGCACATTGCTCCCAAGCAATTAGAGATTTCAAGACAGTCATTTTGGTATCTAGAAAACAGTGACTTGAGCAGACTATTGAAAACCACCCCACCTCCACCCCGCCTTTTTCAAGCTTTTACTCTGCAGGCTGCTATCTCATCTTACCTGGATCCATCTAAGAGGGGCCTGTTGGCCCCCTTTCCAGAATCCGCTGACTTTCACTGATCCACGGGGCTGGAACTGAGCTTCCTTTTTCATGCCAAGCAGGGTCCAAACAACAGGAACATAAAGCCTTTCCTTTCTCCCCAACCTCACCAGCCTTTACCATGGCTGGCTTCCCAGTGATTCACTCCAGGCAACACTCCGCTCATGTTCAGATTCTCACATACACACATACAGAAACAAGGATGCTTGTTTACTTCAAGTAGAGATTACTCAACCACAGAACCACTAAGCTAATTAAAGTGATTTGAACATGGCTGATAGAGACTAGAGATGCTAAAAAGCAACCAGTGAGCAGTTATTACTCCTTGATTTGATGGAACATATTTCCCCATTAAGATGGAAAGAAATTCTGTTGTTTTGTTTTTTTTTGTCTAAAGAACTAATCAAAATCTATTCATTTTTTAAAATTTCATTCCTTTTAGTTTTATTATAAAACTAAGACAACCCATGCAAAGTAACTTTGATACGATATGAAACAAAACAACAAACAACTAATAAAAACCCTAAGAGGCAGGCTGCATTTCAAAGAAAGTAACTGAGTGCCATGCAGTCACAGAAACACAGGACAGCAGAAACAGCAGGCCACATACAGTAACTGCTCTGAAGACCAAAACAATGAAATCTATGTGTGGCTCTATCCTCCTTCAGTGCTTCCTAAATGGAAAGAGCCTGTGTGGGGAAACTTGCTTTTTAAATAACGCCCTGCCATTTGTTACCCAAATGAACTGATTCAAATTCCAGAAAATATCCTATTTAGCTAATAAGTCTCAATCAGCAGGAATGCTGAGATAGAGAAATATACTCACATGGTATGAGAAGTAATGATAACGAGACTAACACAATCTCTCTGATTGTCCTGTCTGTAAACTCTTATCAAGAAAAATAATTCTGTGCTTTCAGACACCCCATTTCTCCTTACTGAACCCAATTAGAGCTGAGCATTCACAGAAGGTAGCAATAAATATTAAAATAACACTTTTGAATAATAAATAAGTTGAGACATCAATCCTTTTAAAGAGCCAAGCAATGCCCAGCTTCTAATCAATCAAATTTTAGAGCTATCATAATGCAGACGTAGGAAAACAGACACTGACAAGGTACAACATAAATTCTCTAACCCCCAAGCATCAAAACAAATTTGGTCAGTTCTTTATGCTGCTCAGGAACAACGTGCCGCTTTGGACTGGAGAGTATCAAACTCTGGGTTCTTTGACTTACTGGGTAGAACTCAACATCCACATTTCTGAAAAGATTAAATAAGGGAATCTGGGCTTTGAAAAAAAATCGATTCTTTCAGTTGCCCACATCAGCTAAAAGCATCCTGCAGAAAATAGCCTAAAAGGATTAAAAACTCACAGTAACTTTCCTTTCAAGATCTAATAATCCAATTAGAAAATTGAAGCCTTTCAGTAAATTTTGTACATATATTTACACATATGTATCTATAAACTGCTTGCAGCAAAATAGGCTCTGTCTGAAAAATCAGTCTGGCACTTGTGGTCAACATCAAATTGACACAAATATGCAAAAGCATCTAAGTCACACAACAGTCAGGAGCTACACAGGGCAGCTGGCGGGGAGACAAACATGTAGTACTTGTTAAGTCATCCAGCGAACATCTTTCTGATTGTCTTCAAAAGAAATTTTGATAACATTGGTAAAGTGATCAGCCACTTTTTGTTTCTCAACTGGATTCTCTTAAGCCTTTCCCTCCATTGCACAGAAAGGTGACCGGGGTCTGGTGCCGTGCAGAAACAAGCCTACACAATTGAATCCCAATCGAAGTCATCCTGGATGTCATCTGGAGGCAGAGAGCGCCGCATCTGGAAGGCTTGGGAAGGCATCATGTGCTGCTGGTTCATGGCTCCGTGATGGCCTGGAAGGAAGCAGGCAGTGTTAGTAGTGATGCAGTACAGAAGAAAGGAAGAAGTAAACGGAAGCCTACCGAGCACTTCCCATGTGCAGGTACTCAGCACACATTATCTCACCAACACTCCTGGAAGCCTTCAACAAGGAGTCTCTTATATCGTCATTTCACAGATAAGTGAGATGACCAGATTAAGAGAATGAGCAGGTCACCCAAAGTAATACAATTAATAAAGGGAAAAAATAGGATTTGAACTCAGTTCTCTTAACTCCAAAACCAACACTCTTTCCAGTACATCAGGCTGCAGCAAGAAAGGCATGAAGAATTGTGGAGTGCCTGAGTGCTGACACAACCATGTCTCTCAGTCCATTCTGTTTCAGCAACGTGAGCTGGCTCACATAAGAATGGTAAATAGCAGAATGTTAGTATACCATTGAAGTCACGTTGCACCATGGTGAATTTCCTCAGCAAGTTCATTATTGTGCCACCAAGTAAGAGCTGGTGGACACAGAGGACCTGCCTGAAGCTAAGTGCAGCAAGCCATGGAGGAGCCCAGCAGAGTACACAATGCCTCCTCTCCCCAGACTCCTCTCCTCGGGTCAGTGTGGCTGCACACTAATTGTGTCCCCCAATTTTAGTGTGTTCTGCCCTCATCTCCATAGCTTTGACAAACCCTTCCAAACCAGATTCTTTTTTTTTTAATCCTCACCTGAGGACATTTTTCCATATTTTGTTCAGATAGAGTGGAAGGGAGAGAGAGAGAGAGAAACATCGACGTGAAGGGACACATCGAGTGGCTGCCACCCACACAACCCAACCAGGGCCGGGGACAAACTGCAACCGAGGTACGTGCCCTTAGGGGGAACCGAACCAGAGTCTCTCTGGACCGCAGGCTTACGCTCTAACAGCTGAGCCAAATCGGCCAGGGCCAGATTCTTTTTTTTTTAAATGATCTTTATCTACTTGTAGAATTTTCATCTATTAGGAATTAAATATATTCTTTTAACTGCTGTGGAATTTTTACTGGTTGTAGTTTTTGTTAGTACTCTGAATACAAAGTTTCAAGAAATCTGCTGCTAATCTTATTTTTCTCATAAGCCATATAATCTTTAATGTACAATTTTACAAAATGCTACGGTTTTCAGTATAGCAGAAATGCCTGTACTTATTTATTTAATGTATAAATTCCTCACTATGTGCCAGGCACCAATGTAAGTGATTTACATATAATCCTCATTTAATTCTCTTAATAACACTAGGAGTTAGGAGTCACCAGCCCTCTCTTACAGATAGGGAAGCTGAGCTAGGAGAGTCAGGGAGCTACCAGGCATCAAAGCACCAGGACTCAGAACTGGGAATCTAGTTCTAGAGTCGTAACTACCTTGTCTTACCACCTACAAGTTCTTGGTGTGAAATGAGGGCACGGAATACATGTCACTTGGTCCCAACTCCTTCCTCACTGCTGCCTGGCACACAGTCCTCTGGGGTTTTAAATCCTCTCCTCCACATCACTGTTTGTCTTTTCCTCACGCAGCCTAAGTAAAGGGTGGTGTGGTGTGCTATATGAGAAAACCATGAGCTCTGACTCCAGGCATCAAAGCTTGAGTCTGGGTTTGGCCATTTACCAAACTGGTGGCTCTGGGTAAGCTGTCTCCCTTTCTGGGTCTCCATTTCCTCATCTAGATTATCCCTAAAACCCCTTCCATCTCTAACATTGCGCCTCCACTAACCCTGCTAAACATAATATCCAATATTCAGGAACCTAGGGGAAAAAAATGTATGAACTAGAAACTCCTAAAACTTATGTTCTCTCTAAAGTAATTCCCTGGAAACTATAGCTGGCGAAACTTCATCAGAATGAATACAGAACAGCTAATCAAAGTAGGTTCTTAAAACCTGAAGTCTATCAAAGTCAAACAGCCTCAATGACACCTAAGGTCCTAGGACACATTCTTTGTCCCCAACCTCTTACAGAGACAGGACAATTAAAACCACTGACAGCACCGTGGGCTAAAAGAGACCTCAGGTAGTCCCTTCAGGAGTACTGGAGCCAAGCAGCTCTCCAGACTTTTGCACCCCACCTGCCTTAACAGAGTTTCCTCCCTCCTGAGGCAACCTCATTCATTGTTAGGACAGCTAAAGCTTTTCAGTATTAAACTCTGAGTACTAATTGCAACACACCACACCCCAAGGTACCTGTAATCGTTGTTCCTGGAGTGCTGAGAGCCTGTGGGATGTGAGGGTAACCAGGAGGTGGCATCACTGAAGGAGGGAGATTTTGCCTGGAGTCTATGTACAAATTTCCTAATACGATTAAAAAACAGAAAGAAGAAAAACATATTACCATAAGTAAAACCAATCAAGCATTAAAATCTTAATAGAATTGTTACCTAAAACTAAATTAAGCAGGTAAGGGAAGGAAAACGTATTCCTTTCAGATGCTAAAACTGCCAAGGTGGTGCTGGCTTATTTAACACAAGCCAGGCTGGGTCAGTCTACTGGTACTAATTCTGACACTGCCTCTAATTTTCTATAAGCTTGCATGCAAGTTATGTCTATTATTGTTGTTACATGCCCCATTCCAGTTCAAAAGCATTTTCATTACTTCATCCAAGCCTCCCACTGTTTTGAGGGCAAAACAGGGATTGTCCCCATTTTATGGATGAGGCAACTGAGGCTCAGAAAGGCTAAGCTGACTTGACCAAAGACACATCAGTTTGACAGGGCTAGGGCTAGAATCCAGTTCTCCTAACTGATGGGCTCTTTCTACTAACAGTTGTCTTTATAGTGCCTAGATTTTTCTCACCTTCAAAGCAGACCTATGTGTGCCCGAGCTACTTCACAAAGTGATGACAGGCACAAAGTCACAGGAAAGACTCGAAAAGGAAAAATGGCTACACCAGGCAAACGTGATTAAAAATGTATTATTTAGAAGTATGGAGATGGGAAACACAGTTTTCATTTAAGTGGCATTTCAGACGGTTCTTAATGTATTTTTCCTGACAGGAGCCATCAAATGTAATAGCTCTAAAATGTCAATTATGCTGCATCCTAATGCAAAACAGAAAGGGAGAGGAACAAACCTCATGTGCCCTCCCCAGTAAATCTTGGAGAAGAAAAACCATCACACTGGCTCACTTTGTGCAGAGCATCTGGAATCCCAGGAAAGCCGTTTCCCTAACGTGTTCCGGGGTTTCACACAAATCATACGTGCATCTAGCAATGCTGTACTCAACTAGAAAAGAGCAACCACTTTCCCAGAGGAAACTTAAAGGGGAAGGAATATCTTCCTTTTGTGATCACGGTAAGGCACACATACTATTTGGCTGCTCCCAAGGTTTTGCCTACCACTGGAAAGTCAGACTGTCCAAGTTTGAGATAATCTAATCCAACCCTAACTCTGTTCATGTGGATGAGGAAATGAGACGAGAGAAAAATGAGACAGAACCAGGAACAGAACATGAGACTTGACTTACAGCCACTGCCTCCTAATAGGCATGTTTTTTATAGTGAAGTTTAGAGTCAGAACTGAGCTCTTTTACCAATTTACCATACTGAAGATTTAGGAAGAAAAAAGAGAAAGTTATGTTATGTTACAGCTCTAGTAAATTCTTGCGGAGGGAGATGATCAGACTTCACATGCATGGCTGGTACGCCTCCTAAAGGGTGCACCAGGCTGCCAGGCTGGAGGGGCCACACCACTCTGAGTAACATGGTCACTAGTGCACCAATGACTTCTCAGCCTCTGACTTGAAAAATCTTAGCTCTTTGACTCATCCTTAGGAGCTAAAGTCACAATCAAGAGACAATCTGATTTTTATTCTGAATATCAATCTGTTTTTATATTTCTCTTTTTAAATCCTCATCTGAGGATATTTTCCCATTTATCTTCAGGAAGAGTGGGGGATGGGGATGGGGGGCATCAATGTGAGAGAGACCCATCGATTAATTGCCTCCCGCATGACTCTGACGGGGCCAGGGATGAACCACAGCCGAGGTACATGCCCTTGGCTGGAACTGAACCCGACACTCTTTGGTCCATGAGCTGATGCTCTAACCACTGAGCAACCCAGCCACGGCTCATTTCTCATTTTTGACTAATTCTTAACTTAAAAGGGGAGAAGGGGTGGGAATTAGAGAAGAATATATATTAGAAAGATATCAAAAGAGAAATGACAAAAGGAGGGGGGAGCTAAAGAGTTATCAAAAATTGAAGTTAGCCCAGCCAGTGTGGCTCAGTGGACTGTAAGCATCGTCCCATGGACTAAGAGGTCCTAGTCCATGCCCAGGTTGCATGCTCAATCCCCAGCAGGGCACATGCCCAGGTTGCAGGCTCAATCCCCAGCAGGGGCATACAGGAGGCAGCTGGTCCATGTTTCTCTCTCATCAATGTTTCTATCTATCTCTCCCTCTCCCTTCCTCCAGAGCTCTCTAAAATCAATTTCTTAAAAACACATTTTTTTTAAAAAGACACAAAAATATAGATTTCACAAAAAGAAAGATGCAGCCTGACTGGGAACCTTGAGAACATAGGAAGACCAAATATATGATATAAGCTAGGATAATGATGGAAGGAAGTCACTCAAGACAGAAAAAAGAGGTTTTGTTTTGTTTTTTGTTTAAGCATCAAATGCAAAACCAAGGTAACATACAGAAAAGAAGTCAACGTGAAGATAAAAGGAAGCAAGAAATTAAAATGCATAGAGAAAGAACATGTATATTAAATGCCTACAGAATGGAAACTTGAGACAATGTAGGCACTATAACCAGAGTAACAGAGATGGCTACAGAATAAAGAGTAAAGGAAGAAAGTGAGACGAAAAATACAGAGTACAAGTTTTGAATCCAGAGTAAAACATCAGTGAGACTACATACCATTATGTCTATCCTTCAAGTAAACTTTCAGCTTCAATATTTTTTTAACTTGTATTCTTTATTGATTTGAGAGAGAGAGGAAGGGAGAAGGAGAGAGACAGAAACACCAATGACAGAGAACATCGATTGGCCGCCTCCTGCATGCCCCACACTGGGGATGGGGGCCCACAACCTGGCCATGTGCCCTGACCAGGAATTGACCTGGCAACCTCCTGGTGCATGGTTGATGCTCAACCACTACGCCACACTGGCCAGGCACAGCTTCAATTTTCTTTAACATTCTTAGAAGATACAAGATTTTCATTGCAAGTATATACAAATTTAAATTCATCTATAACTATGTTCTTATAAAAATGTATGTATCTTTAAGACATTTAATTCTTGTTTGACAACTTAAAAGGTCACAAAGTCAATAGTAATATAAACAATCATATAAATTATGACCAAAAAATTTCTTTATCTTAATTTTTCTAAGATATATCTTTTTTTTGGTATGTGCCCCTAGCGGGAACCGAACCCGAGACTCTGGTCCAGAGGACAATGCTCCAACCACTGAGCCAAACTGGCCAGGGCACTAAGATATATCTTAAATACGTAATTTGATTACACTCATTTCTTAGAAATTAAAAGATGTAAATGGGTCACCGTCACCACTAACAATGTACAAAGTTGCATATTAATGAGGAAAAGAGAAAATCGAGAAGATAATTAAATTCATACCTGTTCCAATGTGTTGGGAAGATTTTGTTGGATGCATGGCACCATGACAGACATTTTGCTGAACATTACTCTGTGAGTGGATAAGGCCAGTTTGTGTAAAGAATTGATTAAGAGAAGAACAGAGATCAGCAAACTGAACCTGATCTAAAGACCAGTTCTTGAGATCTGCCTGTCTCATACTCTCCATCAAACCTATGAGGAAAACAGAAATACAGTTAAGCACAGTTCTGTAAATATTGCAAGGAAAACAGCAAGACAATTTTTTTCAGCCCTCAAAATTTCCACTGGTAGTGATTTGCCTATGCAATGAGGAATGACATTATAAAATTATTCCAAGTCTGACTCTTTTAAATGTGGCTAAATTGTTTTCAGAACTGTTGTCTGTGACCCTCTGCTTCAACTGTTAAAAAGACTTAATTATAAATTTTGCAGTGTTATTTTAAAGCATATGTTGTTTTTAAGCATACTACCAACAGCAAATAAAACACTGTATAAGGAGATGTTTATTTCTACTACAAAGAAACTTATAATCTACCAGAGAAAACAGGATGTGTATTTGGTTATATGTAAAAATGAACCAATACTCACCTTGGAACTGTGAAAGGTCTACATCTGACCAATTAACACTGCTAGCAATTCGACAGCTTTCTTTTAGCATATCAAGTGTTGCATACCAATCATTTGAAACACCTATAAAAATAACATTGACGATACTATAAATTTGGGGTAGTGAAAGTTTGAAGTATATGACAACTGGAGACAATGAGCTGACCTTATTCCCGACATTGGTAGATCCCTATCAATTTTTACAAACGGACTCACACCCATTACATCATGTGCTGGGACAATCTGCTCTGTGAAACAGGTAGGAAGGTTATTATTTCTCTCCATTTTACAAATTGGAAGGAAAAAACAAACCCCAGAGCGATGGAATAATTTAGCAAGGTCACTAGAATGAATCTAAGACTTGAACCCAGGGCTTCTAAGCTCTAGTTGGGCACTTGAAAGTTGTCAAACTTGATAACTGCTCTTTACATTTGTATAGTACAAATGATGACCAGGCAGGACAAGTCATATAAATCAGTATTTTAAAGTTAATTTTCCCGTCTTGTTGTGACATTCCAAGATAGTTCTTAATAACTTAGGGGCAGGTACACATTTAGAAGCAATGTGCAGTCTAACTCAAAGCACTAACTTAAGGCAGGTAAATTAGATTGTATAGCAAGAGATGTTTCTTACAAAGCAACCTTAACAGTATAATGCCTCAACACAGTTCTCCTGTCAAGGTAGCAAATTCTGTAAGAAATCCTGATGAATCCAAACCAGGGCTTTTCTAGTCAGGAATAGTATCCTCTGATGTGACATCATCCGAAGAGTTAAGACTCCACTGTCTATGTCAACAATGTGGTCACCACTCAGAGGCATGGGGCAAGAGCTGCACTCAATGAGAGAGCACCAAATAGATAAAGAATAAAAAATAAAAAAGAATACTCTTCATTCAGGTGACTGCTGTCCAAATAACTGTTTACAGGATAACCCTTGGATGGATGAAAGTAAGAATAAAAAGAATTTTTTGCTATATCACAGGTAATTCTGTATATCAACTACTAGCTACTTAATTTACAAAATTCTGCCAATTATGGATTGAAAAAACAACAACAATGAATCAGAGACAACATGACCCTACCCTCAGGCAACTCATAATTTAGAAATAAATTTTTTAGGGGGTGGGGGGCAGGGAGATTTTAAATCAATGTCTCAAGTGAGCCACAATCATTCAAGTCTATCAGTCTTTCAAATCTACAATAAACGCTAACTTGGCAACACAAAATAAAGCAATCTCTGCAGAGAGTGGCTGAGCAAACCCCTACCCACTCAGTAAATGTTTGCTGATCTTAGTTCTTTTATAATAACTGGTGTTAACAGGCTCTGAACTGATAGGCCAGAATATAAATTTCAGTTCCACTACTTATTAGCAATATGATCTTGAGCAAATCGCTTGATTTCTTTGACTTACACTTTTCCTATTGAATGTGGTAATCTATACATGATTTAAGAGAATATGAGATACTGTATCTAACTTGCCTTGCACATAATAGGCACTCAACAACTGCGAGTTCCCTCCACTCCTTCACTGTTAAAGACAACCTGTTTATTAGTTCCATCTTATAAATAAAAATTTCATCATTCAAAGAGACTAATTATCACAGCCACAATTTTCCCTAACTCCCAAGGTAGAAGTCTATTTTCATCCTCTGGCAAGCTACCACTGGGATAACAGACCAGTTAGGGCACATCATGGGTTGTTGTCAGCTGTAATTGTACTTTTCTCCCCCTTCGTAATCATTACACTTAAAAAGAAAGGTATGAACAAAGCATCACAGCCTTCTGATAGATTCCCATTCTCTACAATCATTAGTAAATCCTTAAAATCATATTAAAAAGAAGCTTAAATTTCTGAAGAATGTATAGACATTAAAAGGTAGGCAATAGTGACTGAACTACAAGTTATAAAAGGGGGCTATGTTATATACCTTTTCCTCTAGGCATAGATCTAAAAATAACTTCAAGATGTTTTAGGAGAGAGAGCCCATCAAGGCAGAAACTACACCCAATTTTCTATTTTATTCTAAATTGTATTCTACTTAGAATTGGTAATACAAAACAAAATAAACTGTTAAAAGAAACTAATTTCTAAGTACTCTGCTATGCATTTTTGTACCTTATCTCATTAAATACACTCCCCCCCAAACTTGTATCATTTTTTCCACAATGCAAATAAGGAGACAGTTTTAGAAAATAATAAGATTTAAAGTAAAATCAGAATATGCACTACCTAAAATTCATTCCCTGACAATATTTTAACTGCCTAAAACAATGGTCAATTTTAAATTGATGAATAAGAACTAGCACTGTCTAGCACTTAGAAATTGTCCCTCCAGGATAAAAGTCTCATCAGTGATATATTGTTGGTAAGTGGACAACCAGGCAAGGTAAGAGAAGGAGCTGAATTCTGTACAACTCCCAGGGGCCCCATTCACCTTGTAGTCTATGTCTGTGGCACCCCTTGGAGTTCTGCAGTACAAAGACTGCTTGGTCTGTAAGCAAGGTCATGTCAGTTAAGCACCTCACCAGAAACCATCAAGACCTAACTGAAGAGCAACAGATTTTCAAAACATCAGGATATGAAACATGCTTTCTTCCTTTGCAATATATCATTCTAAAATAATATGCCTGGCAGGAATTAAGCAAAGAAAGGAGGAGTGGAGACATTCACTAAATGCTTAAATACAAGGGACTAGACTAGGCATTTCATATTAGTATTCTCAATATGACCTTTATAACAACACTGTATACCAGTATATTTTACTTTCATTTTTATAGATGAGAAAACAAGACTAAAAGAAGTTAAGAAATGCACCAAAAGTTCTAAGAGCCATATAAGGATTCAAATCTATGCTTTCTTCTATACCACTGAATCATAACAGGGTGCAGATAGACTGCATTCCATACTTCTTTCAAATATAGCTGACCCTTGGACAATACAGGTTTACACTGTGTGGGTCTACTCACATGTAGATCATTTTCAATAAATATATAGTTGATAGTATTTTCAATAAATATACAGCTGGATGGTATTTTCAATCCCTAATTGGGAATTCAGATGTGGAGGGCCAACTGCATGCATTGTTCTTTACCATTTTATGTGAGGGAATTAAACATCTATGGATTTTAGTATCCGAAGGAAGTCCTGGTACCAATCCCTCCTGGATACGAAGGGATGACTGGAAAGTCAAAAGTCATACACAGATTTTCAACTGATTGGAGCTCCTAGCCCGTGCATTGTTCAAGGGTCAATTATACTCACAAAAACACTTATTTTCCAAAGGACAACATAAGAGATAAAACCATAAAACCTACAAGGATTGCTGTTTGCCTATTTTGGCACAATACATTTTAATTAAGAAAATCTCTGAGTGACAGATGAAAAGAGAGTAGTAGTAAATACAGATAAGCCCCACAGATAACAAAGACAGATCCTAATTTACAGTTAGCCGAACACAGTCAAGAGACAAAAACTTACCAGAATTACAGGATACCTGTTGTGGGGGTGGGGCTGCCTGATGTGTTAACGTCTGATGCTGATGGTTCGAATGATGCTGCATGTGTTGATGTGGAGAGGGGTGCTGAGGATGAGGGGACTGGAGCTGGCTGTGTTGCTGTGGGTGCGGTGTTGGATGCTGGGGACGCTGTGGATGCTGTGGTAAACCATGTGGTCGATGGGACGGATGTGGAGACGGTTGTGTGTGTATCTGGGGGTGGGACATTGAGACTTGTGCAACCGAATTACTGCCTGTGGCGTTGAGGCCACTGCCATGACTGTTGGACAGGGTGCTTTGGTTGCCGTGTGGGTGAGAGCTCACTGTACTGCTAGGAGAGTGCTGATAGGAACACGAAGTATGGGACTGCTGGGAAGATTCAGAAGGGATGTTCATCAAACCTAAAAACAGCCAGAAAAAGCAAGATTTATGGTTAGATTGCAGTTACATTTTATGACAAAGGTTTGCAACATTATTTAGAGAGTAAAGGTACATGCTATCAAAAGGCAACTTTGATACAGTTTAACAAGTGTTGATGGCTTTGGAAGCCAATAAAAAAAACCCATGGGGCCCTGGGTTTGGTTCAGCGGTTAGAGTGTCGGCCCGCAGACTAGAGAGTCTCGGGTTTGGTTCCCGCTAAGGGCACGTACCTTCGTTGCAGTTTGTCCCCGGTCCTGGTCAGAGTTGTGTGGGTGGCAACCACTCAATGTGCCCCTCTCACATCGATGTTCCCCCACCCCCCAACTCTATCTGAAGATAAATGCAAAAAAATGTTCTCGGGTGAGGATAAAAATAAATAAATAAATAAAAATAAAAGACCCATGGGAGGGGGAAAAAGAAAACAAGTATTGATGGAACATCCACTATACACTGAATTCTGTAACCGAGAAGAGTTAAGAAACATCATTCCCTGCCCTTGAGTAGCCTATGCTCTAGTGGAAGAGAGATGCTTAAAGAGATTATGTCCAACAACATTAAGTACTAAGGCAAAAAAGTATACATTGGGGATATAAGAACTTGATTTCTTGCTTGTTCAGGTAGGAAGGGACTGGAGATATAGAGAAGCCTTCCCTGAAAAGGCAGTGTATGAGTTGAGTCTTACAAGACGAGTAAAGACTAAGCAAAACAAAACAGCCATTTCCACTGTTCTTTTTTATTACTCTTATGGAACATTCCTGAGAACAGCTTAGGGGTTAAGACTGCATATTTTACAGCATCAGAAAGTAGGGATTAAAGTCTCTGCACTGCACTTGGAAACTCTGGAAAGATATTACCTTTCCAAGCCACAATTACTTCAAGTGTAAATGGGTATGATAATAGTATCTACTTCATAGAGTTGTGCAGATAAAATGCCATGATGCAAGTGCAGGCTGCAGGATGAGCACAGTGAAGGCTAGCTGTTATGATGACAACGATGATGATGATTAGGCCAGAAATGCCTAATATCAAACATAATGTATGTTTGGTTTGCAGGCGCTCATTTTAATAAATCTATTGCAATATTTGATTCTATAACTAGGTTATTTTCATATCTTAAAGTATGGCTCATACCATGTTTTGCTGAGCCAAACACAAAAAATATCACTACGGCCCTGGCTGGTTTGGCTCAGCAGTTGGAGCATTGGCCTGCGAACCAGAGAGTCCTGGGTTCGGTTCCTGCTAGGGGCACATACCCCCCCCCCCAAAAAAAATCTATATTACTATGTAAAATCCCATGGCATAGTGTCAGTCAATAAAGAATCAAACTTTTTTTTTTTTATCCTCACCGGAGGATATTTTTCCATTTTTTGTACAGATAGAGTGGGAGGGAGAGAGAGAGAGAGAAACATCGATGTGAAGGGACACATCGAGTGGCTGCCACCCACACGACCAACCAGGGCCAGGGACAAACTGCAACCGAAGTACGTGCCCTTAGCGGGAACCGAACCCGGGTCTCTCCGGACCACAGGCCGACGCTTTAACCGCTGAGCCAAACTGGCCAGGGCAAAAATCAAACTTTTTAAACAAAATAAAATTATACTCATTTACTAGTAAATAGTATTAACAGTAAAAATGTATTAGAGTACATTGTAAAATAATCTTAAAACTTAGTACATTAACATTTTATAGGTACAAGTGTTAATAAAAGTTCTTGCCCTGGCCCTGGAAAACTGTCATTTATAGGGAATCTGTAGAGTTATTACAGTAACATGAAATAAAGTTATTTCATTATCTATTTCCAATGAAGTCCTAGCATTTTAAGTGGGAATCCAGATACGATACATACCAACATTTTTAATCCCAAATTATTTTTAAATAAAATGAAATAAAGTATCTTTCAGAAGCCCAATATGTAAAACTGATAAATGTAAAGTTTCTTTTTTTGAAGTCAGGGAATGAAGCCTGCTAGGTCTCCCTCTTCATCTGCATACTTCAGCTCCCCAAGACCTTCACAAAAGCAAAGGATTCCAAAGACAAGGATTTGAAAACCATAATCTTATCTAATCTTCTTTGTTGAACAAATGAGGATGCTGAGTTATAGAGAAGTGGTGTTAACTCAGATGACTTTATGGCAGAACCAGGACTAGAACCCAGAATTCCTGTCAATGCTCTTTTGTTTGTTTGACGAAACATCATTATGGGCTTCAGAAATCATAACCATTATTATTTCAAAACCAGTAATTTTCTGTTATGATCACCAAGGTTGGATCCGCTTAACAAAGTCTTATATTAGTTCTTTTTGTACTTTTACAGATAGAAAATTTGAGATAAAATTTGAAAGAATGCATGAATATTCCTTTAACCAGAAAAACCAACTTCCTATACAAGCTATTGATATTCACTGATATATGTAACACTTGGCTATAACATTAACTTTTCACCATGATATCTGACAATCACAAGTATTAAAATGTAAACTCTATAAAGACAGAAAATTAAAAAAATTTTTTTTTCCTTTATTAATTTTTAGAGAGAGAGGAAGAGAGAGGGAGAGATAGAAACATCAATTAGCCACCTCCTGCATGCCCCACACTGGAGATTGGGCCCACAACCTGGGAATGTGTCCTGACTGGGAATCAAACTAGCAATCTCTTGGTGCGTGGGTCAATGCTCAACCAGTGAGCTACACCAGCTGGACAAGACTGGGATTTTTGACTAAAATATTTTGCTCACTGCTATGAACAGGTAAAAACTCTGAGTTGAAGTATAAATAGTATAATCTGTCAAAGAAACTAGGAACTGCTTCAACAGTAGTGTTCCCAACAATGTGTGACTCTTGTTCTTTGGGGAAAGACAATGTGACATTTTGATCCTATCACATGCCTCTGACTAAAATTAAATGCAGCCAATGGCACAGTAACACATAATGTAGCAGGTTAACTAGCATTTGGTTGATATAATACTGTATCTCAAACAAAATCACTTTCAGCATTAAAATCTGACTTAAATATGTTGTATAAAACAAGGACCCAGAGCATACCACTAACCAATGTGTTCACCTGGAAGTACCCTACATAAAGTTACATATTTGGTGCTACCATATTCTTTTTTTAATTTTTTATCCTCACTTGAGGACATTTTTCCATTTTTTGTTCAGATAGAGTGGGAGGGAGAAAGAGAGAAAAACATCAACATGAAAGGGACGAATCGAGTAGTTGCCAACCGCACGATCCAACCAGGGCCGGGGACAAACTGCAACCGAGGTACGTGCCCTTAGCAGGAACCGAACCCAGGTCTCTCTGGACCGCAGGCTGACACTCTAACCGCTGAGCCAAACCAGCCAGGGCAGTGCTACCATATTCTAATAGTCATCTCTTTACTAATACCAGTCAGAACAAAAAGGCAAAGCACATCTATTCTTGTGTGCAACATTCACCACTAAAATGCTTCACATGGCAGGCATCTCTAATTAACCATGGTAGTCTTTCCCACATGGCACAGATGCAGTACCAGAATTCTTCAACACAACTCCAGGACACCACTGGATCAAGTGAAGCAAGCAGGCAAGATGAAATTTATCTGTTATTCTTGTGCTACGATATAAATATACACAGAGCATAGTAAAGACACAAAGAGCATTCAATCCTGATCATGATGATAATGTTCTAAGATCAAAGAAATATAACAGTTGCTATGTGAAAAAAATTTTTAAGAGAACATTTTACAAATTTACTTTACAGAAAGTATTTTGCAGAACACCTCACCTTGTTGACTAAGTGACTGCTCAAAAACTGACTTATAAAGGCTCCGAAATGAGGCACTGAGATCTTCAAAATTATATTCTGAGAAAAGCAGTTGCTTGTCTCGTTCTGGAAGGTTGTACTGTGGCTGCTGTTGAGGAGTTAATGATTGAGAGACTGGTTCTGGATGGTTTGTCACCTAATATTAAAAGAAAATACTACTAATTTAGTTGCTCTATATCAGAATTGATTTGTTACATAAAATATATAACTGAAAATATTAAAACAGTTTCTAGAATCCAAAAGAAATATTTACTTCCCTGCCTGTGGTTTTCCCATCCTCTGTTTAAACTGGGGGTGTGCATAAAATAGAGATCACAAAACTGTTAACTTGAATCTTAAAGAACCACAGAAATCTAATCCAATCCCTATATTTTACAGAAGAGGAGAAAGAGTTCAAAGAAGGTAAATGACCTTTCCAAGATCATAAAAATAAGTGATGAGCTAAAGCCTGGCCTGTTTCTGTAGAATCTTCATCTTGTTTCTATAGAAGCAATTTCATCTCAAATGCCACTATATTATGAAACTACTAACATTTCTCATTCATTTAGTCAATTAACCTTTAAATACTTAAATTCAAATACTTTGAGCACTGTGATCAGTTTTTGTGGCACAGCCCAAAGCAGCAAGAAACTTCAGTACACCTAAACTCATCATTTCTAGAGAAAATTTTTTTTATTAAATAAAATGAAACTGAAGGAACATGAAAAATAAAAGCTAAAAGACAAAGGAGATTCTGATAAAAACAAAATACAGGATGTAGCAAAAGTGGGTTTACAGTTATTCCTTTGGAAAATAATGCAATAATTAAAGAATAATAATACAAGAATAAACTATTTCATATATTCACAACTGTAAACCCACTTTTGCCCCACCTTGTACATCAAGGGCTTGAGTTATGCAGGGGGAAAAAACATCAGAAACATCTATAAAATAAGAATTATCTTTGAAGGTAGCACACACAACTAGAATAAAACGTTAAAAAAAAAGATCAGCTGTATATCTTACAGATTATATCAAGGGGTGATAAACTACCATTTGTTTAATGTTGTGAAAAATTAAGATATACTCACTGTAAATTTATGCAGCTACTCAAAACAATGCTCACAAGGAGTTTGCAATAACTTGAAAAAAACATGAATTTTGTGTAGGAGAAAGAATTTGCCACTAGGCACTCTGGTAACCTCGCACGGGCCATGTAGACAAAACACAATAGCAGGATGACCTCAGCCTTGGTAGAATCCTGTGATTATCCTGAAAGATGGGATGATGACTAGTCTTATGAGGAGCAAATTCTCATCCATCATCCTATCCTGCAGGAGGCAGCCATGGGCAGTTTCTTGTCAACCTCTCCATCTTGCAGCAAGTCACTCAGAGGCAGTTTCTCATCTGTCTCCCTGTTTCCAGTGAGGCAGGGGACTTTCTACTTTATTCCTATAGGGTACAGCTACAAGTAATACAATTGCTTAGCTGCAGTATGGAACTTGACCCACCACATATGTAGTCTGTCATCAAGCTCCTCTGATTTGGGTTTGTCCTGTGGGATCTGACACCATAGTGATGTGGCTTATACTCTCTGTATAAGTAATAAAACTATCTCAATGCATCTGGGCTCACTGTGGTCTTAAAGGCTCAATCTATGGATATGTGATAAGCTCAACCAGCAGCTGACACTGTACTTCTGTTTAAGGAGTGTTTGATATCTTGTTGTTAAATTAAAAAAAGCAGTCTGCAATGTCTAGTTTATAGCAGAGGAGTTTAACCCTCTTACGTGTACTGGCATAACAGACATGTTTGTTTTTACTTCTGTCATCTAGTTCAATAAATGTTTTTAAATTTTTCCTCTTATTATATTTTGGGGTATAGGGACTCTGCTCTTTAATTTCTTTTGGTTTCAAGATTTTCTACATTCAAGCTATTTTGAAAGCTACATAAAATCATTAAATCTTTGCACAGTTTGCTTCAATGTTCCAACTAGTCCTTTAATATTATGACTTTCTCATTACCTAGCACTTTAATTTTATTCACCTCTTGACCAGCTACAAAATTTTGTTCATAAGGCCACATAAAAACAAAGGTAGAATGCTTTCTAAGCTCTCTATAATGTCTTTCTTCTTGCATCACATATGATTGAGAATTTGGCTAAGCATAATATTTATAATTCCAAATCTATCCCCTAAAATTCTGCAACAAGTGTTTCATTATCTTCTGGCATTTGGTATTATGAAAGAGAAGTATGATTTGTGTTTCTTTGAATGCATCTTATTTCTTCTCCAAGAGTATTTATGAATACTTCTGAAATTTCAAAATCTGTCATAATGTGTGTGTTTGTTTGTTTATTTATTTATTTAAACCCTCACCCAAGGATATTTTTCTATTTATCTTCAGATAGAGTGGAAGGGAGGGGAAGAGGGAGAGAGAGAGAAACATCGACTGGCTGCCTCCCGCATGACCTCAACCAGGGCTGGGGACCGAACCGCATCCAAGGTATGTGCCCTTGACTGGAATAGAACCCATGACTCTTTGGTCTGTGGGCTGACACTCTAACTGATGAGCCAAACTGGCCAGAGCATTTTTTATTTTATGATGTGTTTAGATACAGGTTTTTTTTCCCCATTAACTTTCTCAAGAACTCAGTAGCCCTTTTATTTTTATTTAAAAAAAATTTTTTTTTCTTCATTGATTTTTTGAGAGAGGAAAAAAAAGGAGAGGGAGAAAGATAGAAACATCAATGAGAGAAAACATCGACTGGTCTCCTCCTGCATGCCCCCCACTGGGGATTTGGCCCACAACCTGGGTATATGCCCTGACCGGGAATCGAACTGGCGACCTCTTGATGCATGGGTTGATGCTCAACCACTGAGCCATACCAGCAGGGCCCCTCGGTAGTCCTTTTAATCTCTATTTCTTCTGAAGACTGTTTCTGTAGCCACTATTCTTCTTCAGGGACACCAAGAATTCTCAGTTCTCCATATCTATTCTCTTCTTTTATATAACTGTTATTTCTTTATCTATTTCTTCTGTATTCTGGGAGAACATTTTAATTCCCTTTCCCCCAGAGCACTGATAACAGCTTTATAGAATCACATTTCTTTTTATCTACATTCAATAGAAATTTTACTTCTGCTGAGTGTTTTGTTTCCCTTGTGTTATTTTCTTATTTCAGTTCCCCACTTCATATATTTGTCCTGTATAAGTTTTTGTGTATTTACTCATCCTCATGAGTGATCTGGTGACATCATATTTATACCAATAACAGTGTAGTGTATGGCTCTTGGGTTCTGTTCTGTCTACTGGGGAGGATAGTTAACAGATGACTTGAAAAGAAGTATCATACAACCCAAGGGCCATGTTCGTATAATAGGTAACCAAATCAGCACAGGAGCAAGAATACTCACACAGGTCCCTTTATCACACAGCTTTGTTTTCCAGACAAAAGTTGAAAATACAAGACAGGCTAACAAATTTGGTACTAGGTCATCCTGACCTTTGCAGTTTGTAGAAGCCCCTTCTCAAAGGTACAAATGAAAAATAAGGTGATTTACACATACATCCTCTAGGGTCTTTTACCAAGGACTCTAAAATATCATCAAATGTAGCTTTGCTAACCTGAGGTATAATCTCTCTCCTATTCCAACTGCCCATCACTTGGACATAGAACACATGGAGTAAAGTAAACCAAAATATATAATAACATAGTACACAACTACATATTTCTATCTAACTTGGTAAAATATAAGTACCCAATTAAAACATTATCAAGGTAGAAATCTGCTCTACTTATCTAAGCTAACTGATCAGTGAAAAATACACATTTTCACTTTTTATTGGCATTTCGATTACGTTTGGTTTCGTTTTAAGCATTAAATGAGTACTCACAAAAAAATTAACTTCATCAAAACTTACCGGTGTATAACTATGCACGCTTCCAACACTGTTCAAATTAACAGATGCCAAACTCTGGTCTGAGAGACTGTTGTTAAGGCTACTGCGTGGGCTATCACTACCATCCTGATCAGTGTTGTACAATGTTACCTAGATTGAAAAGAGAAACAACATTTGAATAAGCAGTTCCTAGTACAAAGAGTACTTTTAAAGCAACTCTACAAAAGTATAACTAGCTGGGATATGGCAAAACAAAATGTTAGTGATCTTTCCTTTGGTGCCTACCTACCCCAATTCCATGCCCTTCACTGCTACCTCCATGTTCACTATAAAATAATCTGCTCTCAAACTACAGGGCATGTCCTATCCAGAGATATATAAATCCACTTTACTTCCAGATATAATTAGGTCATCAACATTTGGTAAGAGGATTACAGTAAACTTCAAATTTATTTTTATTCAAGCTTTAAGAAAAACTGCTGTTCTCTATCAAAATCTTAGGTATCAAAAAAAGAACACACAAAAAAATTTTAAATTCATAAATATCAATGTTTATAACACTGAAAATTAGAAATTCAACTATCCAACATATTTGCAAAAATCACAGATACGTGATCTAATTTTTAAAAATAACAATAATATGCTCGGCTGGTGTGGCTCAGTGGTTGAGCATCAACCCATGCACCAAGAGGTCACCAGTTCGATTCCCAGTCAGGGCACATGCCCAGGTTGTGGGCCAAATCCCCAGTGGGGGGCATGTAGGAGGAGGCCAATCAATGTTCTCTCTCATTGATGTTTCTCTTTCTCTCCCCCTCTCCCTTCCTCTCTAAAACCAATAAAGGGGAAAACATTTTTTTAAAATAAAGTAACAATAATATGCTAATACAGAATTGGAAAAGTGTACAATTGTTCATATAGAAAATAATACAATAACTAATAAATAATAAAGAATAAACTCTGGGTTCCACATACTCACATCTGTAAACCTACTTTTGCCCCACCCTATTTATGCATTAGACATGAAGGGCTATATAGCACACTGTTAACTTTATTCAAGTATATTGTTATTATTGTTCTATTTTATTATTATTAATCTCGTACTGTACCTAATTTATCAGTTAAACTTTATTAGTATATATGCATAGGAAAAAACAGTACATATAGAGTTCGGTACTATCAGTGATTTCAGGCATCCACTGAACGGGTTGGATAAGGGGTGGAACTTGTGTATAAAAATAAATGGGAAGGAAAAAAGAAAACTGGCAAAGGCTTTTTTTTTCTGGTACATACTTCCAGTGTAAATTTCATTTAAAAGAAAAAAAAAATTAACCTATGGGCCAGTTTGGCTCAGAGGTTAGAGCGTTGGCCTGTGGTCCAGAGAGACCTGAGTTCAGTTCCCACTAAGGGTACGTGCCTCGGTTGTAGTTTGTGCCTCGGTTGTAGTTTGTCCCCGGCCCTGGTTGGGTCGTGCAGGTCGCAACCACTAGGTGTGTCTGTCTCACACCGATGTTTCTCTCCCTTCCTCTCTCCTTCCTGCTCTATCTGAAGATAAACGCAGGAAAATGTCCTCAGGTGAAGATAAAGAAGAAGAAAAAAAAAATGGAAAAATGTCCTGGGGCGAGGATTAAAAAAAAAAGAGTAGTTACAATGTGGAATTTGAAACCATATCAATAAATTTTTCATACTGTTACATTAAAATCCACTGTTCTACATTGTACTTTGAATGAATCATTTAGCAATACATGATTTTGTAACATTATGCATTCGTTATATGGAAATAATGGTTCACTAAGTTATGCAGATCTTCCAAATATTGACACATTTCATTATGGAACATCAAAACATCACATTAACTAACATTACCAATAATTTCATTAGAATAGTCTGTTAAGTCTATAAAGACCGTAGAGACTTGCCATGGTGGATATAAGTTTTCCAAACTTCTATTTTTTGCTAAATAGCTCCTATTTTATCATTGGCAAGAGATATTGTCAATCATTTTCCCTGAAGTGACAGACTCACTGTACATTTTCAAGAAAACTTCTGCCAAATTCACAAATTTAAATAGTTTCCATTGTTCTTTCAAGTAAAAACAATGATCCATGAACAAAGCAGTTAGTTCAACCTCCAACTCAAAAAATCACACAAATGCTCTTCCTTGAAGCAACCTTTGTACTTCAATATGTAGTATAAGTGCTTTATGCATACTTCCCATGTCATCACACAGAATATTTAAAAGATGTATACTTAAAGGTCACAACTTAATAATGTTTCCTGCTTTACAGATATTAAGTAAAACTATTATTTTTTCAATAAAAAATCCAAAGTGTGTGGCAGTGAAGAATACCCAGTAGTTAAAAGGCACACTGCCTTGATTTGCGCTTATGTTTGCAAATTATTGCTTTTGCTGCATCAGAGAAAATACGAAAGGAGAAGGTAAATAATATTTAAATATTATCATAAAAATAATTTTGACCTCAAAGAATCCCTAAAAGGGTAGTTCACACACTACAGAACCAATGATATAAACCATTACTAGCACTCCATAAGACCCACTCACACACTCTTATCATCATTCATCAACCAGTCATTATCTATCCTCATTCTTCTATCACAGGTAACTACTATCCCGACTCCTAACACTACTGAATGATTTTCCTATTTTTTAACTAAGTATAAATGTTATCATACAATGTATATCCTTTTCTGTCCTGCAGTATATTTAGCTAAAGGATTACACATACCTTTGTTTTCTATTGCATTAATATCAGTTCTTAATCTTTATTACTTCCTTCATTCTGTTTTTTAAAATCATTTTTTCAAGCAATTGAGAACTTAACTGTTTTATCATTTATACTTATATCTGAAATTGACTTTTGTAAATGAAAAATCTGATTTTCCATTAACCCAGCAACAGTTGTTGAAAGATATCACTGAATTCTGGTCCATAAGTCTCTCTCGATATTTAGAAGCATAAACCCTCTTATCTTTTACAATATTTTCTTCAACTACTGTTTGGCATTTGGATTCCTATTTATATATTAGGGACCATATTAAATCTGTAGATCAATTCAGGAGAAATAGAAAGTACACAGCCATTAATTTATATCTCCTTTGTTTTACCTCAGTAATTTTTTTTAGAGTTTTCACTGGAGAGAGTTCATCTTTCATTTAATCCTAGGTATGTGGTATTTTTGAATGCTAATATAAGTATTACCTTTTTTACTTTATTTTCTAATTATCTATGACTAGTATACAGAAATACCCTTAATTTCTAAAATCAAACATTAATCTTATATTAAAACCTTGCTAAATTCACTTATTAATTCTAAAAGTTTATCTGCAGATTCTTTAAAATTTTCCTATAAACAAACATGTCATCTGTGAATAATGATAGTTTCACTTCCACCTTCCCAAACTTAATGCTTTCTCCTTCATAATACTTCCATTTCTCCTCTCCTTGCCTGAACACTACTGTTGTCATGTACAAGGTAGGGCAAAAGTAGGTTTACAGTTGTTCACATGCAAAATACAATGAATAAATAAGAATATAAGAATAAATTCTGTTTTGTGTACTCACAACTGTAAACCTACTTTTGCCCCACCCTGTATTTTACTTCTATGTTATAAACCCATATTCTTGCTTTAAAACAATAGTTTAAAGAGATTTAAGTTAAAATTTTTTTTTTATATAAACCCATGTAGTTATTCATTTGTGTAAGGACAAATTTCCATTAGGAACTTCAATTACAAAAACATAAGGCTACCTGAAGTTGTCCCACAGCTCACTAATGCTCTATTTACTTTTTTTCATCTTTTCTGTGTGTTTCATTTTGGATCATTTAATTGCTCTATCTTCAAACTCACTAACTTTTCCTTCCACAATGTCTAATCTATTAATCCTGTTAAGCTTATTTTTCAACTCATACATTTTTTTAATCCTCACCTGAGGGCATTTTTCCATTTTTTGTTCAGATAGAGTGGGAGGGAGAGAGAAGGGGAGAGGGGGAGAGGGGGGAGGGGGAGAGGGGGAGAGGGGGAGAGAGAAACATCGACGTAAAAGTGACACATCGAGCCCTGGCCAGTTTGGCTCAGCGGTTAGAGCATTGACCTGCGGTCCGGAGAGACCCGGGTTCGGTTCCCGCTAAGGGCATGTACCTCGGTTGCAGTTTGTCCCCGGCCCTGGTCGGTCGTGCGGGTGGTGGCCACTCGATGTGTTCCTTTCACATCGATGTTTCTCTCTCTCTCTCTGTTCCTCTCTCTCCCTCCCACTCTACCTGAAAAAAAATGGGAAAATGTCCTCGGGTGAGGATAAAAAAAAAAAAGTGACACATCGAGTGGCTGCCTCCCACACAACTCAACCAGGGCCGGGGACAAACTGCAACCAATGTACATGCCCTTGGCGGGAACCAAATCTGGGTCTCTCTGACTGCAGGCCAACGCTCTAACCGCTGAGCCAAACCAGCCAGGGCCAGACATAATTTTTTTAAAGAATGTGTTAAAAAAATTTTTTTTAATTGACTTTAGAGAAAGTAGGGTAGAAAAAGAGAGAGAAACATAGAAGGGCTGCTTCCTGCACGTCCCCCTATTGGGAATCGAGCCTGCAACCCAGGCGTGCTCAGACCAAGAATCAAACTGGCAACCTCTCTCAGTGAATGGGATGACATCCCACCAACTGAGCCACATAGACCAGGGCTCAGACATGACTTTTATTTCCCCGGAGTTTAATTTTGGTTTTTCATGTATTACATGAATCTACACACATGTTCAACCTGTCTTTTAGCTTCTCCATGGAATAGTTGTAACTTTTTATTCCCAGCTTTATTGAGATATAATTGCCATATAAAACTGTGTAAGTTTAAAATGTACAATGTGTTCATTCGGTATACTTACATATCGCAAAATAATTACAACTGTAGCATTAGCTAATACCTTCATCACTTCACATAATTACCATTTCTTTTTTGTGGTGAGAGCATTTAAGATCTACTCTCCTAGCAACTTTCATGTATATAATACAGTATTACTAACTATAATCATTATGCTATACATTAGATCCCAAAAACTTAATCATCTTATAACTGAAAGTTGTACCCTTTGACCAACATCTCCCTATACCGCCCCCCCCCCCCCCTCCTGTAACTACCTTT